TTTATATATATATAAAAAAAATTAAATAATTGATAAATTTATTTCATTAAAAAAAGTCTATTTTATTAATTAATTAAATTAAATTAAATTAAATTAAATTAAATTAAATTAAATTAAATTAAATTAAATTAAATAATTTTAAATGAAAAAAATAAATAAAATTTATGAATTAAATTATTTTATAAAAATTTAAATATTTTTTTTTTTTTTATAATATAATTATAATAAATAATATTTTATCTATATATAATGTGTAAATTAAATTAAAAATATTTTTTTATATAAATAATTAAAAACAAATTTTTATATTTATATTTTTTATTAATCAAGCATTCTTAAATTACTAATAAATTATAATAAAAAATTTATATATATAAGCATGTAAAAAAAAAAAAAAAATTACATGTATAAAAATAATATTATATCAAAAAAAATGTATTTAACAAAACAGATTTTGATTAAAATTAATTATAACTATTATTTTAGAAATTCGATTAATGTATATAATTTATCTATGATTATAATTTAAATTTTAAATATATATATATTTTTAATAGAAATGTATATATAAATATATATAAATAAATTCATATTTTTAATTTATATATATATATAAATTATATATTATTTTATTTATTTGGAAACTATTTTGTTTAATATATTTTTTTATATTATTTATAATTCATCCAATAAAATATGATAATTTTAATAAAATATAAAATTAATATATTGTGAAAATAAATTATATAATTATATTTTTTTAAAAAAATAAAATTAAATATTATAAATAAAAATTAAATAATATCAAATAAAAAAAATATTTATTTAAAATATGTATTAGCTATTTGTATTTACTTATTTATTTTTAGTCTATCTTTAATTTACTTATTCTTAATTTAATTTCTAAGAATCTTAATTAAATTTTGTATCTATGTTTATAATTAACGGATTTCCTAATTCTAAGTATTAAGATTATTTATCAAATTCAGGAATGTTTTAATAATTTTATCTTGGTTAATATTTAAGAGAAGATTATATATTTTAATAGGGCTTTTTACCTGATAAATATGATAAAGATGGCGAAATATTCGATTTTAATTCAATTGATAAATCCATGTAAAAAATAAATTAAAATTTATTATATTTAAAAAAAATAGAAATAAGGATTCTTTAAAAACATTATTTTATTCACTTTATCCTCCTTAATATAATGATATTTTTAAATAGTCGAATTAATTAACTGAATTATAGAGTCTTTAATATAAACTAGGAAAGTTGAATATCCGAAAATAATTAGGACCTTTATTATATGATGACTTATAAGTTAGTTAATTGACTTATTAAAGTGACTAATAATGCCCATTCTTATAAAAAATTGACAATTTATAAATAAATTAAGATGAAATTATGTAAAGAATTCTAGTTTAATTTGATTCTGTAATTTAGGAGTATTGTGTATTGAACGAATAAAAAAAATTTGATATATAGATTTTTATGTATTATATGTAAAATATCTAATCTGATCCTAATCTATTAAAATAACTAACTGAAGAATAACTATATAATTTTACAGTTTTATAAAACCTATTTCACAATGTAAAATACTTTAAAACCTAAAAATAAAAACAATAAGAACTTCTCCATTTGTTTCAAAAATGTTAAATACATTATCTTTAGTTAAAACTAATGGTTTAAAATACAAGTTCTAAATTAACTCTATGGACTGGTTTAATTTTTCTATAGTACTTTAAGCATTTGATTTGATTTCTTGGGAATGTATATCATTTTAATTTACAAATAATATTAAATAATCAAATAATTGTATTTAATAATTTTCATCTTATGCATCTAATATTATTTTGGAATAAAGACATGATGTAGAAAACCATAAAAACTTCTTTATGATTAAATATAATGGATAATATTAATAAATATGTCAATCAAACAGTATATACTGTGAATATAATGTTTTTATTGAAAGGCTTTAAAAATTATTTGACTTTGATAATGGAAATGTATGTACTATAAATGATATGGTAATAAAAGATAATGTAATGTCTGAATGGGTTGTACCTATAGTGATATTTTTATCTATTTTGAGCATTTTGATAATTATTTGTTTAGTTTTTTCGATTATTTTATTAAATAAAAAAATTGCTTGTAAATAATAAAGTAAAAATTTAGAATAATAATCTTTCTAAAATTAATAATAAAGTAATTAATAAATTTAGATGAAGAATGTAAAAAATGAAATAGTTAATAATAGTTAAGTTAAATCAGGTGGAGCAGAAGATAATGTATAAGTTGCTTCGAAAAAATAATTGATTGATGAATGAATGATTATATATATATATATTTATTTTGATTTTATGAATTATTTTTATTAAAATTATTATTTTTGAATTAATAACATTTTTTTTTTTAAAATAAAAAATATAAATTATATTTAAATGCGTTAATATTTTTTTTTATTATATATAAAAATATAAATATAGACACTTTTCTTTCTAACAAAACAATAAAATGTCAATATAATTAATTAAATACTTAATATTATAAACAATTTTAATAAAATAAATAATAACTTAATAATGTAATTAAGTAGACGTCGTATACCAAGATTCAAACTAAAACAAAGTCTAAGTCGTACAAAACAGCATTACATAAAAATAATGGTCTTAAGATTCTCCAAAAGTAATTAATCTATATGCCTCAAGCCAACTTGATTATTTTTACATAACAATCTAAAATTTTAAGCCTTCTTTAACTACAAATAGTTTTTAATTAAATTTTGATGATAAGCTTGTAGCAGATTCTAAGGTTTTTATCGAATCTACAAAACAAACAATTGAAAATACTCGAGTTTATGCTTTAAAAGTGGATTATAGGTGCAAATCCGTAGGAGGATAGATGGTTAATTATAGTTTATATATTTAATAATGTAATGTAAGTTTTCATTGGAAAAAAATATGTGGAGATCCTAGAAGTCCTGCAAATGGGATTTTTGTGGATTATAATATAGGGAAAAAATATAATTAAAATATTGTAAAAAATGGACTTTTGATAAATGCAGAATATTTCGATTAAGACTTTGATTAGTATGTTGTGAAAGTTGGAAAGAAATAAAATTCTTAGTTATTCTATATTTATATGGATAATTCTATATAGTAAGATGATATATTCATTATTGAAAAAATCGAAATTAAATTCGACGAATTAATTGTTTAGCCGGAAATTTACGGAAGTTTAGTTAATGGGGGGAAAATTAAAGGTGAAAAATCGGGTGTTTAGATAGATTATTTTTGTAAAAAATAAGGAAATAGTTAAATTTAGTTAACATTTTTATTAAAGTATTTTAAAGATATTGATATGTATTTTTTAAAAGAATGTCCACCTTAAAAAGGGGAAAGTAATGGGGTATTTGGGTTTATTGCTTTTTCAATTTTGACGGCCTTTTTTTTATTTTTGTTTATTACTATGTATAATGTTTATATTAAAAAAATTGTAGGAATTAATGCTATTCCTTATTTTTTCTTTGTTATTGATTTTTTGAAAAAATATTTGTTTTTCCATTAGTCAAGGATTGGATAGTTTTTAGAAAAACTCTAAAATTAAGAAGATTAGAAGTTGGGTTCATTTAGGAAAAATAATGATGGGTTTGGAGAATTAAAATAAAATTATAATCGCCATAATGAAGTTAATTAAAGCAATGAGATTTCGAATAAAGGATATTATGGGTCTATTGTTTGAAAATTAATTTTATAGTACTATATTAAAAGATTTTACTATATTTTTTAAAAGCGTGTTTTCTTTTATTTTGTTTTAAAAATTTTATATATTTTTTAGATTTATTTTTATATTTATCTATTTTTTTTTTAAATTTATAAAATATTTCTTTGTTTATTTTATTAAAATATATATTTCTAATTTTTAATTTAAAATATCCTATGTACTAATTTTATTTAAATTAAAATAAAATTATAACTAAACTATTATTTATTTTAATAACACTAAAAATGTATAAAGTAATTTTTACTATTTTAAATACTCGAAAAAAAAGACAAAAAAAAATCAATATTACACAAGTGATTAATAAATTAATTACTCCAACCTAGCATTTATATTTGGTAATTAAAAATACTTTGTATATAACATAATTATTAGTATAGGAAAATACTCATCAACCAAATATAAATTGGGGAGAAATTAATTTGTTAATATTTTTTTTTCACAAATTTATACATGTTCCAGACAAAAAATAATATATTTTTAAATAAAATAAATCCATATAAATATAAAAAATTATTATAATATATATATATTATTTAAAATTATTGTATATATTGAAGGATTTTTATAATTTTAATAACATATAATCTAAAGTTATTTTATATTTTCATTTATTATATAAAAAGAACTAAATTACGCAAATATTATTTTCTAAAATTACATATATAAGTAAAAATATAAGTGTTATAAATAACATTTAAATAAAGTAGTTTGTAATTTTTTATAAAAGAATGTACAACAAATAGTATAAAAATTACTAAGCTTGGTTTAATTAAATTCTATAAAATATTTAAGAGGTTAAAAATTTTATTTTTAGATAAATTTTGATAATTTAAATGAATCAATTTGGTAAATAATAATAGTAATATATTAAATAAAAAAAAAATATTATGATAAATTAAATTATAATTGTTTTTTTATTAAATACATATTTGTTTTTATATATTTTTAAATTTTTTGTTACAAAATATATTTATCTCTTATAAAATTTAAGATTTTTTATATATTAATATATACTAAAAGTAATTTTTATTTACTAATTCAATTATTTTATATTCTTTATAGCTAGTTTTATAATATAAATATATATTATTATTATTATTATTATTATTATTTTTTTAAAAAAAGAGTAATAATAATATACCTAAAATGCTATATTTATTTAATTATCCTTTAATTTTTATATTAATTCTTATATAAAATTAAATAAAGTTTCGTCAAAATATTTTTTATCTTATCTAAAATTTTATTCTAAAAGTTATACTTATTATTAATTTGCAAATATTTAATATTCTAAATTTCTTATTTCTCCCTATTTATATTTAAATATATAAATAATAAAAATATTAACTTGCTTTCCTCCAATATAATTAATTTGTTATAATTTTTAATTATCTTCAAAAATAATATCAAGTATTTTATTTCTTTAATCAATTATTTCTAAAACAATATCAAAATGTCTTATATGATGCTAATTATTATATTAAAAAATATATAATAACATATATAATACATTTAAAGGTTCTTCAAAAGTAAATATTAAAACCTTATGATTAGTATTTTATTAAAAGTTTTATTATCTAAATTTTTCTACATTTTTATTATCAATAATTTCAATAATTTAACATAAATTTTCCATATTTTATGTTTATTTATATTTATTTTCCGATATTTAATGTAAATATTTTTACATTTCCTATAATTTATTTCTAGCTTTCTCATAGTATTTATAATACTAATCGAACTCTTAATCTTCTTTAGTACAATTTCTACTTCTTTTTTATTATTTTATACCTGAAATATATTCAAAAGCAAAATTGATAGTACTTTGAACAGTTTTATAGACATTATTAATAACCATATTAGTATCTACTAAATTTTTATTTGATGTATTTTCCTTTAAAGATTCAAATTACTTTATAAATATATATATATATATATATATATTAAAATAGAAATATATTTATAATAATTAAATAAGAAAATATATAATAATAATTTAATTATTCTACGTTTTCTTGAAATTAAATAAAATATTTAAGTTCTTTACTTTCCCTTAAAACTGGATGGATAATTAATTTATTTAAAAATAATTATAATCCTATTAACCTTTATTCCATGAATTAATTCTTATTGATAATATCAATATTTTATATATTAATTTTTGCCAAAGCTGATTTTTCAGGTAAAGGAGGAATAATAAACCCAGGATATTCTTAAATTAATTGTTTAAAAAGCCATTCAAAATCACTAAATCTTCTTTCTACAATTTAAAAATCATTAGGGGTTTATTTGTTATATGATTTAATATTATATATTTATGATTCGATAATCATCCTTTTATTTTTTATTTATATTTATATATATATATAAAAGAACTTTCTATTTTTTTAAAAAAAGAAAGTACCAATCAGTTTTTGTATTTGAGTTTTATATAATAACTTCTATTTATTCCAGTTTTTTATTTTTTTAAATTATCTATTGTTATTATGCTATTAATTATGTATAATTTGGTTTTAGTGAAATTGTTTATTTAGGAATTGTATATTCTGGTTTTTCTAAAATACTATATTAATTAGAATCGTCATCATCTCCATTTTCTGATTAGACTTCGCTTTTATTTTTGTTTTGATCACTATTAATTATTAAGTTATTTATGTCTTCAATTTCATATTCGTCACTAACAATTTATGAATCACTTATTTATTTATTTTAATTCATATTTTTTACTTTTTTAATTATTTTTTTTTAAAAAAAAGTAAAATTGTTTTCTGGCTGAGAGATAAATAAATATATGATTTATTTTATTATTAAAAGATAAATTTTATTACGTTAATTTTCTTTTTTTTGTGTTTTTTTTCTTTTCTTTTTTTTCTAAATTTTATGTTTTTGTTTTGTTTTGTTTTGTTTTTTTTTGTTTTTTATGTAAATATTTTTTTATAGGCTTTTTTTTTTTAAAACAAAAGTCCTTATTTAATTTTATTTTACTAATTTATAATATAAAGCATTAATTTTTAATATTTTAATTAATTAAGTTTAATTATAAAAACAAAAACAATGTAATATATATTATTTTCTATTATATTCTATTTTTATAATAATTAATAATTAATTATATATTCTTTTTATATTCAAATAAATCAAAAAACTTCAAAAAAAATAAACCAAAAATGCATATAAATATAAAAATTATAAGTTAGAATTAAATTTAATTTATTTAAAAATATTCAAATATTATTTTTTCTAAAAAAAAAAAATTAAATTATTTTATTTATAAAATTTCAATGTAAAATTGGGATTTAAATTTAGGTACATGGAAAGATAAATCATGTCTATAATAATAAACATAAAAAATCCCATCTCCTTTATATATATTCGGTTATGGTAGTTTATGTTTTAATCCAGGAAAAATAAAATATTAGTAAAAAATAAATGGTTACATAAAGAGCTTTACAAGAAGATTCTGGCAAAAATCTACTGATCATAGAGGAGTACCCGAAAACCCTGGTTTGGTTTGTACATTAATAAATCACGAAGAATGGGAAAATCATTAAGATTAATATTAAAATGGGATTGTATATGGAGTTGCGTATAAAATAAATGATGAGGATGTTCGAGAAGTATTAGATGAGTTAGATTTTAGAGAAATAGGGGGATATACGAGAAAAATTGTTAATATTTATTTCGATGAAGATAACTTTGTGGAAGGACTTTTATATTGTGCGAACAGCGAAAATCCTAATTTTTTGAATGATTTTAAAATCAAAAGTTGTTTGTAAAAATAAGGGGACATTATTAAGAAAAGTGAGGGAAAATCAGGTAAAAATATTGAATATTTTAAGCTTTTATATGAGTTTTTAGAAAAAAATAATTAATTAGATAATTATATGATTAATTTAAATATGTATTTGTGAAAATATAACTTTTTTTATTTTTTTATTAATTATTTTCATTTATTAAATTATTAATTTTTTTATTTTTTTATTAAATATTTTTTTTTTTTTTAAATATATATATTTAAAAAGTTTTTTATTTTAAAATTATATTTTTTTTGTTTTTTAAAAATTAAAATATAAAAAATATATAAGTTCTTTTATGGATTATATTGTTTATTAAATAAATAAAAACTTTATAATATTTCAAATGATATATTCTTATTATTTTTATTTTTAGTAATTATTTTATAATAAATATTATATATATATATATATTTTTATTTTTCTTAAATTTATAAAGAATACAAGTTTTGTTTATTATATATCTATTTCTTTATACTTTTTTATTTTTTAATTACTTTTTTAATTTTATTCTTTTATAAATCAATTAATTAATTAATTATATAAATTTTATATAGACATTTATTTTTAATTTACTTCCATTAAAAATAAATAAATATTTTATAATAACATCAATAAAAGCCAATAGAAATAAAAAATTATTGATATATAAAATAATATATTAATAAAAAAGTAAAATTCAATTATTTTATATTTTTTTGAAAAAAAATAAAAAATATTTTAAATCATAATTCATTCTTATCATAAACTTAAAATGCACAATTAAAATTACATTATTATAAATCATAAAAACTATCATTAATCCACCTATCGCCTTCACATTTTAATAAACAATTTTTATATGAAAGCGGTATATTTTAAGTATGATCAGTTATTTCGCTTTTCCAAACTTCGAAATTTTAACAATCTCCATCGTTTTTCATACAATCTTCTTGTATTTAAATTAATTTTAAACAAACACTATCACTAGCTAGGCATTAATATCTTTAACATTTTTACATTGTGCATAGTTTATAAGCTTAATAACTATTAGGTATATAAACTTTTTCTTTACCACATTATACTATCAATAAAGCAATAATAAATACAAAAAAAATAAAATAATTAATCATGTTATATAAACTAAATTAAAATAAAATAAATATATTATTATTTAATTAAAAGATATATATATATATATATATATATATATATATATATATATATATATATATATATATATAATTTTTTT